TCCCATACACACTGTTATTGTTGTTGTTAAGTCGAGTCAATTCCGACCCATAGCGATGCTGTATAGGGTTTCCAAGGAGAAACTGGTGAGCTGGAACCACCGACCTTGCAGTTCACACGACTTTGCAGTCTGACGCATTAGCCCACAGTGTCACAAAAATTCATGGAAAAATAGAATTAAAACATCATGGAATTTTTTCCACTAATTATTTGAAATTAGAAAACTTGGGCTATAGATTTAGTCCTACCTCTTACTACAGCCAAGGCATTATTTCCTAATCTGCAAAATGGGAAGGTAATATGTATTTTGCATAGCTCAGTGACTTAATGAAAAAAATCAAATGTGATCATGTAAAAGTTTATAAATATAAGGTGTTATTCAATTTCTTTTACTGTACTGTGCTTAATATTAGGGGTGTTGTGTAATGACAAGAATGATTGCAGTCGGTGGATTCAAATGGAAGGGACCAAAAGACACTGTTAATGAACTGTGTCTTATACTGAATTTGAGGTAGAAAAAAAGATGTGATCAGTGGAGAAAGGCAGGCTAGGACATTCCTTATGCATTACTTCAAAAGTAGGCCAAACTACAACCAATAGACTTACTTGGCTGTAGTAAAGCACTTGAGCATTTGTGTGTTCAAGTCGGCCAGTTATTGAGGGCATAGGGTGCCTAACCCAAGCCATGATACTTTCAATAACCTCATATGCATGTGAAAGTTGGACAGTGAATAAGGAAGACCATAGAATAATTGATGCTTTTGAGTTGTGGTGTTGGAGGAGAAATTGAAAGTGCCATGGGCTTCCAAAAGAACCAATAGATCTGTGTTGGAAGAAGTGCAGCCAGAGTGCTCCTTGGAGGCCAGGATGGCTAAGCTTCGTGTCTCATACTTTGGACATATTATCAGGAGGGACCGGTCACTGGAGAAGGATATCATGTTTGTTAAGGTGAAGGGTCAGAGAAAAAGAGGAAGACCCTCAATGAGATGGATTGGCCAAGTGGCAGCATCAATGGGCTCAAGCGTGGCAACAATAGTGAGGTTGGCCCAGAATTGGGCAGTGTTTCTTTCTGCTGTGCATAAAGTCATTATGAGTCAGTACAGATTTACTGGCACCTAACAACAACAACAAGTTCATGGTGGACTATAGCTCCATGACTGTTGTTGTTAAGTGACATCGAGTTGGTTCTGACTCATAGCTACCCTGTCTTTGAATTTTCAAGGAGTGGCAGGTGAGCTTGAACCACTGACCTTGCAATTCAAACCGACCTTGCAATCCAGCACATTAACCTACAGCGCCACACCAGGACTCCCTAGCTCCAGGAATAGGAGTTTTAATTTGATCACAAAGGTAATTAAGCTGGTATTTTCTGAGAAGGGGTGTTATGTGAGGTCAGCAGCAGCATCCTGAGCCCTGCTTTGGCCTATTGTGAAGCTAAAGAACAACAGAAGATTAGGGAGATTAAGCAAAAGTACAGCCTCCATCCTCTGTTTTGCCACTTCCTAAAGTGACCTTTTGAAAATGTTTAGTGTTTGAATTCAGGTTACAACATGAGCACAACCATTAAGAGGAGAACAGTGATGGCTCCTCTTTCTGTGTTCATCCTTGAAGAGTGACTGATACTCCTGATAATTATTAAAACCATCAGCAGCACGGGCAGCTCACTAGCATCATCTGACAGTTTGAGTTCAAAATCTAAGGTTTGAACTCAAACTGGAAGTTCGAGCTAAAAATGAGATACATGTTTGTAAATTAGATATGTTGCAAAGACACCCTGCATCAGAATCATCCAGATCCCCTTAAAAATTCAGATTCCTAAATCTTTTTCTTAATTGATTTCAAGACTATGATGAAACTCTAGGTGATTTTGATGCACACATACAGGGACATTTTCAAGGGAGGCAAGAATATGCTTCTACATGTATCTTCCTGTTATTGGTCAAGACAAGTTTAATGACTTGAAATAGAAGGAAATGGGTCACATCAGCATAAAGAGACATTTTATAAGAAAATAAGTAGGAATCAGAGAAACGGCCTACGTGGAGAATTATCTCAGCGGCATGCTCTTCTCAGACTCTGTTTCCTGTGAGGCTGGTGCTTTTAGCAGTCTCTCTTGTAGGTTCTTGCATCTTCTAGTTATATATGGGCTCTAGATGACTGAACCCAGACCTTTGCCTTCAGTGTCCATGACCCTAGTCTTCGTCCTTACTCTTCACCCTTGCCACAGCACTTGCTTCCATATCTACCTGTATCTTCCCTCAGACTCACATGTACCTCTGTATTTCCCATGCTGCTGGGAGCTGCCGTGGAGTCATCTGCAGCTCCTGAAGCCCCAACACATGTTCTCAGCTCATGGAGACCCCACACACATAAAGCAGGACTACTCCATAGAGTTTTCATGGCTGTGAGCAATCTTTCTGAAGCAGATCTATCTTCCAGGGCACATCTGGGTGGGTTCTAACGATCAACCTTTCAACTAGGAATCAAGTGCTTACCCATTTGGGCTAACCAGGCACTCCTGTATTCTTCACAGCATTTTACAAGGGTCTTGCCATTATCCAAATTGGAAAACATAAGAAAGCTATTAAAGGAGCAAAAGAGACAAAATTCTTGTTAACTTTTAAAAATGGAATTTGTGTGTTTTCACTTTTAGTTGTTGACTCTGGCTCTGTAAATCAGACACCAAGTTGACCATATGTTGTTCAATATATTTGCCTAATTCAACATAAGCATCTACCTCACTGAGCAGATTTTACTATTTATGCTGGGATATTTTATGAAACAAGGAATGCTGGCAGCAATAAACTCAGAAATTTGGGGCTAAAACAAATGGCAATGGTAGAATTTAACTCTGAAAGATGTTGTTTAAATAATGATCCTATTTTGTTGTTGTTGTTAAGGTGCCATCAAGTCGGTACTGACTCATAGCCACCCTATACACAGCAGAACGAAACACTGCCAGATCCTGGGCCAACCTCACTACTGATCCTAGAAATAGCTAAATATTGTTTGGTATATAACCTATAACAACAAAACAACAAACACAACCTATAAGTTTAATACTTAAGAAAATATGTTCTTAGGTTTGAGGATTTTTGATTTCTTAAACAGATACTTCATCTTCAAAATTTTTGCTTGATTTTCTTTTCTTTTTTTGGATAAATGTAAACCAGAAAAGGTGGGGAAATGGGAAAGCAAGAGTTACTAAGTTTCTGTTTGGGAAGATGAAAATCATGTGGAAAAAGAGACTGATAATTATGACACCACTGTTGTTGGTAAGCACCTTCAAGTCAGTTCCAACTCATAGTGATCCTGGAGAGGGTTTCTGAGGAGGGCCTGGTGGGTTTGAACCACTGACTGTTTGATTAGCAGTCCAGTGCTTATCCCACAGCACCACACCAGGACTCTGGGTTACACAATTGGGTGGATGAAATTAATGTTGCCAAATTATACCCTTAAAATGGCTAAAATGGCAAATGTTTTGTTACATATATTTTGTTGCTGTTAAGTGCCATCAAGTCAGTTAAGTGCCATCAAGTCAGTTCTGACTTATATATGGGATGTCCAAAGAGCAACTGTTGAGTTTGAACTGCTGGCCTTGTGGTTCAAACTGACCTTGTGGTCCAGTGCTTATCCTACAGTACCACACCATAAAAAAAATAAAAGTAAATTCAGGATGAATAAGCTATTAAGTTGTGCATAGTGTTTGGAACCTAAATAATGACATTTACGACTAACTGTTGTTGCTGTTAGCTACCATTAAGTTGGTTCCAAGTCATAGTGACCATCTATAGCAGAATGAAACACTGTCAGTCCTATACCAGCCTCATAACTGTTGTCATATTTGAGTCCACTTTTGCAGTAACCATTGGAGTCCTGGTGTGGCACTGTAGAATAAGCCCTGGACTGCTAACCAGAAAGTCAGTAGTTCAACCCATCAGTTCCACTTCAGAAACCCTATACAGGGGCGCTATGAGTTGGAACCAACTCAACAGCACCTAACAACAACATGTCAATCCATCTCATTGAGAGTATTCCTTTTTTTCACTGACCCTTTCTGCTTCACCAGGAGTGTGGCACTGGGCTACAAACCACAAGGTTGGCATTGCCGTGAGTCAGAATCAACTCGATGGTACAACAACTACTTTACCAAGCATGATGCTTTTTTCTAGGGACTGGTCTTTTCAGACAATATATGTGAAACATCCTGGCTTCTAAGGAGCATTCTGCATGTACTTCTTCCAAGACAGATTTGTTTGTTCTTCTAGAAGTCTTTGGTACTTTCAATAGTCATTGCAACACCGTGATTCAAATGCATCAATTCTTCTCTAGTCTTAAAAAATTATTCATTGTCCAGCTTCCACAATGCATTTGAGGCCATTGAACATATCATAGCTTGAGTCAGACACATCTAAGTCCTCAAAGGAACATCATTGCTCTTTAATACTTTAAAGTGGTCTTTTGCAGCAGATTTGCCCAGTGCAAAATGTGTTTGATTTCTTGACTGCTGCTTCCATGAGCATTGATTGTTGATCCAAGTAAAATGAAAACCTTTGACAACTTCAATATTTTTTCCATTTATCATGATGTTATCTACCGATTCAGTTGTGAGGATTTTTGTTTTCTGCTGATTTGTAGTTGTTAAGTGCCATCGAGTCAGTTCTGACTCATAGTGACCCTGTATAGGGTTTCCAAGGAGCGGCTGGTGAGCTTGAACCTTGAGATTCAAACCAACCTTGTGGTTCAGCACATTAACCTGCTGCGCCACACCAGGATTAGGATGCCCTGATTCTGAGAACAACTGCAGGATCAATACAATTAGAGAAGTAAGTGGGCTTTGAAATTCTGGACCAGAGGGATGGTCTGGCTCTAGAGGGCTGCCACCACCAGGAAAGCCACACCCCAACTGATGTCATGGGGAGATTAGCTTTCTTAAGGGTTCAAGTATTGTCCTCCTGTCAAAACACATCTCCATGCCAAATTAACCATCTTTTCTTTTAGATCAGAAACTTTGCAAATTGAGGAAAGGAAGCTGCCGAGACGGCGTGTGTGGGCAGGACTCCAAGTCCCATGTGTGCACATGTGCCGAGGGATACACTCTAAGCCATGATGGCAAGTACTGTGAAGGTAATTTTCAGATTATTGTCTGGGTACAGAAAGCCCACCTAAGCAGGGGCTTGTCTTCTGTGGAGCCATCAGAGCCACAATGTGAAACCAATGTCAGGCTTCAAGTTTTCTCAGAAAAGCAGTTTCAGTTTTGTTTGTTTGTTTCTGTTTATAAAACCTTTATCATATTTTCAGGTCTTCTTTACTTCTTGTGTTCTGAGATCAAACACTCTCAGAGGCTGTTCAGGGCTTGATGTAAAGTAGGAATATTCTGAGTGGGTGCCATGAATCTCCATGGTTTTACTTTGTGCAAATGTCAGTGTATACAAGGTTTTTAGGAAAGTTGCTTCATAGCTATAAGTTTCTCAGTATGCGACCCCACCTCCATTCCCTAAAAGTCTATGAGGAATCTTGAGAAACAAAGCAGGGTTAGCTTTCTAGGCCTCCTCCTTTATTGAAGTTCCCAATTTAATGAATCTGTGAGAAGCACTGTATCGTCTTTCTTGTAAGTTCAGCATCTAGTGATGAAACTAATCCAGTAGTTGCAGTATACATTCAGTAGACTTATTTGAGAAGAGACATCAAGTGAATCTAGTATCTGCCTTGTTAATTAGACCAATTGTTGTCAAGTAATTTCTGACTCATGTCAACCCCATGTATTTCAGAGCTGACCTAAGCTCCATAGTATTTTCAATGCCTGATTTTTCAAAAGTAGATCTCTAGGCCTTCCTTTGAGACATCTCTGGGTAATCTGAAACCTTCAGTTTGCTGATTAGCCCCCGAATTCATTAACTATTTGTACCATCCGGAGACTTCTGTTAATTAGTTATAACTGTAAGTCCTCTACTTTTATGAGGGAGTCCCCGAGTGAAGCAAATGGTTAAGTGCCCAATTGATAGCTGAAAGGTTGGCACTTTAAATCTGCTCAGAGTTGTCTCTGAAGATAAAGCTGGTAATCTGCATTCAAAAGAACACAGCCTTGAAAACCCTGTGGACCTGTTCTAATCTGCCACACTTGAGGTTGCCATGAGTCAGAACCAATTCAAAGGCAACTAACTAAAGGTCTAACTTACATGATGACTAATGGACAAATGTGATAGCCTAGACACAACGAACAGAAAGCCTGGAATTTAAGACACGGTAAAAGCACGGAGGAGAGTTTGCCATTTTGGACAAAAAGCTCCAGTCAGTGTTGTGATGGGTAAAGAGCAAAGCAGGGAATATTCTATCCTTGTAGAGAAACTTTAAGAGTCCCAGTTTTGAATTGTAGGCTGTGTATTTTCCTAGAGATGATACTATGTCTTTTCAAGGGTAATTCTAGTATGTAGATCTGTATTTGAAAGTATAAACTACGACAGTGAAAATGACTTTCACTATAAAGTGAGCTGACTTCCTTTTCCTCTCTGTGAGTAAGTGGTCCGTTATAGCATATCCAAGTGTCAGATACCCTACTTTGTGTTGACTATTAGTGATAACAAGAGCCCTAGTAGTACAGTGGTTAAGAGTGTTCTGCTGCAACTGAAAGGTTTGCAGTTCAACCCACCAGCTGCCCCATGGAAGAAAGCTGTAGCAGTCTCAGATAGCCAATGGGAAAGTTTGACTGTCCAATAGGGTAGTTATGAGTTAGAATCGATTTAACAGCAATGGGTTTAGATTTTGGAAGTTTTATTAATGATATCAGATTCCTGGTGTGGCATTGTAGAATCAGCACTGGACTGTGAACCACAAGGTCAGCAGTTCAAACCTACCAGCTGCTCCTAGGAAACCCTATACAGGGTCACTATGAATCGGAACCAATTTAATGGCACTTAACAACAGCAGTTAATGATATCACATTGTATTTTAAGAAAATAACTATGTTTTGTTTTTATCATTGTATAGATGTCAATGAATGTGCCCTATGGAATCATAATTGTACTCTTGGCTGTGAAAATACCCCTGGATCCTTTTATTGCACATGCCCTGAAGGATTTATTCTGCTTCCTGATGGGAAACGATGCCACCGTAAGTCATAGCAACAAATATTTTTTAGCATCCTTTTCCTTTATTTTCAGTGGTATTTCTAAAGTGATGCAATCCGGGTTGGTGGTTCCTGATCAGCTGAGTGAATCTGAATCACTTTGGTATTTTGTTTTGCTTTTCAAAGTATAAACAACTAGACTGAATCCCAGATTTACTAAATCAAAACTTCTAGGGATTGAAAATACATACACATTTCTCCTATTTCTTCATCAATATACACACCTGTTCCTCACTTACTGATGATTTCATATCTAATATTTTTCATTTATGATAATAGTGAAAGGTCTGCTATCTGACTGTTTTGCTCATTAAAGACAAATGTGTGGAAGTAGCAAACTCTGAGTTGCAAGGTGAGAGTAATGCAGGCTGTTATGGCTTCGTGATGACCATGATTCACAGTACTTTGGCTGTTATGCAATAATGTGATTTTGCAGCCACTTAACAATGTAACTTGGCAGTGATGCAATGATGTAGTAACTCTCCATTTTGTGATCTGATATTATCACCTCTGTTTTTTCATAATGCTGATTGTCACATACTAGCCGGGACTTTGAAACCTAACCTGTCTATAAGTGAGGAGTGGATGTAACTCATTGTACAAGTGTATCACCAGTAGATAAGCATTTAAAAACATAATCATAAAACATTATTACATCTCAAAATTAACAATAATTCCTTACTGCCACTATACTCAGTAAGATCTCAGACTTTATCAAAGTACCTCTTTAAAGTGTAGAAGAGCAAAGATGTCAGTTTGAGGACTAAGGTACGCCTGACCCAAGCCATGGTATTTTCAATAACCTCATATGCCTGTGAAAGCTGGACAGTGAATAAGGAAGACTGTAGATGCATTTCAGTTATGGTGGAGGAGAATACTGAAAGTACCATGGGCTGCCAAAAGAACAAACAGATCTGTGTTGGAAGAAGTGCAGCCAGAGTGCTCCTTGGAGGCCAGGATGGCGAGACTTCATCTCTCGTACTCTGGACATATTGTCAGGAGGGACCAGTCACTGGAGAAGGATATCATGTTTGGTAAGGTGGAGGGTCAGAGAAAAAGAGGAAGACTCCCAGAGAGATGGATTGGCAAAGTGGCAGCATCAATGGGCTCAAAAGTAGCAATGATTGTGAGGTGGGTGCAAGGTCGGGCAGTATTTTGTTCTGTTGTCCATAGGGTTGCTCTGAGTTGGTTCTGATGCAATGGCACCTAAATACAATAACATCACAGTACCACTATCACACCTAAACATTTTTAACACTAATTGCTTAATAACATCACATATCCAGTTTGTTTTAAATTTTTTTGTATTATCTTAAAAATCTTTCTTAAAAATAGTTGATTTGCTTAAATAAATATCCAAAAAATTTTCACATTATATTTGCTTAATATATCTTAAATATTCTATAGATCCCTTCTTCCTTCCTACCCCTGTAATTAATTATTTATTGAAAGAAACTTTTTTTTTTTTTTGCAACTTCTCACATTCTGGATTTTGTTGATTGCATTTCTGTGATGTAGTTTAACAAAGTTTTCTATCTTCTGTCTGTCCTGAAAAACTGTAGTAAGATCTGAAGATGTGATTGGGCTCAGATATGACATTTCAGCAAGAATATTTGATAGATGTGTTTGTAGGTTCACCCAGAGACACATAATATCTGGTTGTGTCTTTCTGAAATGCCAAGTTTTGTCAGTGTGTTCATTCTTTCAGCAAATGGTTTTGTCAGTCCCCAGTATTCTTTCAGCAAATGGTTTTATCAGTCATTAACAATTATCCATTGTTGCAGTGTTAGATTTATTATTTCATTCAAAATGGTGGTGTTCTAATTCTTTTATTTCTTTTACATTATTAAATGAAATAAATACCTTTGCAAATAGATCTTTCTCTCATTTACTATTTGGTTACATCAAGATACAATTCTTCCTTGAACCAAAGATTTCCCCTGAAGTCTTCTTAAAATTGAGCAACAGTTTAGCTTAACTAGTGAAAAAGGTCCACCTTGAGCATTATTTTCTTTTAAGAATTGTCTGCATGAGATCAAATTGATAACACATACTTAAAAGATTAGATAGGAGTAGGAAATATAGTGAGCAGTGAATTTAGGTTAACAGAGGTACAACTCAGAAAAAAAAAAGGATAAGAATTGTTGTACAACTCAAAAATGTAATAAATGTCATTAAATTGTCCATTTAGAAATTGCTAAAGTTGATATGTATTGTGTATATTCTCAACAACAACAACAACAAAATAAATACTATTTAGGAGCCCAAAGTGACTAGGTAGCATTCTTATTATCTAGTTCAATGGATTCAATGTTGTATATTCCGGTGGAGAATTTCTCCGTTTGTACTTAAGGGTTCATTTACACACACAGAGCATAGTGTTATTGGAAGAGGACACAGAAATTATATGAGGGGATTACTAGGGATAATAGTGAGTTGTACAACTCCTACATTCCTGAAAGTATGAGTCCTTGAAGCGGGAGAAATGGGGCCATATATTGGACACTGGTTTAGAGTATATACTGCCTCCTGGAAAACTTTGCCCCAACCCTGTAAGGTATTATCATATAGCTGGTATAGCAATTGTGTCTTTATAAGGCTATTCATCATTCTAGTAAGCCAACTGTTTCTGGATAATGGGAGCATGGTAAGATCAATAAATTCTATAGGCACAGGCTTATTGCTGCACTTCATTTTCTGTAAAGTAAGTTACTGGATCTGAGGCAATGCAGTGTGGAATACCATGAGAGTACATAGGGCACTCTGTAAGTTCACAGATGATGGTTTTGACAGAAGCAATGCGTGTGCAAGGAAGGCAAATCTGTATTCAGAGTGTCTATCCCAGTAAGAATCTGGGAAAATTGGAAGTTGTCAAAAATGAAATGGATGGCGTAAACATCGATCTATTTGGCATTAGCGAGCTGAAATGGACTGGTATTGGCCATTTTGAATCTGACAACCACATGGTTTACTATGCAGGGAATGACAAATTGAAGAGGAATGGTGTTGCATTCACTGTCAAAAAGAGCATATCCAGATCAGTCATGAGGTACAATGCTGTCTGTGATAGGAAAATATCCATGAGCCTACAGGGAAGCCCAGTGAATACCACTATTATTCAAATTTACACACCAACCACTAAAGCCAGTGAGGAAGAAATAGAAGAATTCTACCAACTTCTTCAATCTGAAATTGATCAAACATGCAATCTAGATGTATTGCTCATTACTGGTGATTGGAATGCAAAGGTTGGAAGCAAAGAGGAAGGATCAGTAGTTGGAAAATTTGGCCTTGGTGATAGAAATGATGCTGGAGAAGGCATGATAGAATTCTGCAAAATCAATGATTTGTTAATTTCAAATACCTTCTTTAGACAGCATAAGAGACGACTATACACATGGACCTCACCAGTTGGAATACATAGAAATCAAATTGATGACATTTGCGGAAAGAGATGATTGAAAAGTTCCATATCATCTGATACAAGGAGCAGGGGCAGATTGTGGAACAGACCATCAATTGCTCATATGCAAATTCAAACTGAAATGGAACAAAATGATAACAAGTCCATGAGAGCCAAAATACGACCTTGAATATATCCCACCTGAATTTAGAGATCATCTGAAGAACAGATTTGATACATTAAACATTAAAGACCAAAGACCAGAAGAGTTGTGGGATGACATCAAGAACATCATACAAAAAGTCATTGAGAAGACAAGAAAGAAGGAAAAGGTCAAAATGGATGT